TATTTGGATTCCAAACAAATAGGAAAAATCTTTCGGATAAGAATTGCAGCATGTTTGATCACTGCCACATAAAAAACTTCAAAGTCCATGTGAACTCCGAGGTAATTTAGACCTGAACTTTAGCAAACAACAGTATGACTTGCTGTATAAGATGTATGCACGATTTCAACAGTCCTATTACTATAAAGATGTGGGCGAGCCTTGTTTCACATTGAAGAAATTCATTGAAAAGGCTTTCTTAATCGTCATCGATTGTTGTTACCAAGTGGACACTAGGGTTACTGTTATTTACCAACTTGGATTTTTTTTTGTAGCGCCCCCTAAATTTTTAGTTTTTGACCTAAAAAAATTTATCAGACTCATATAAGCCCTTAATATTCATATAAGACCCTGTCACAAAAACTATAGGCGGATTCCATTTTAAATCATGCAGGGCAATTTTGGTGAAAACACATATTTCATTCTTAGTGTTTTTTTTATAATTAATTAAAAAAAGGCGACACGTATTTTTTTGTTTCGCTCAAATCCTTTTTGTAACGAACTTACAGAGCATTTGAAATATATCTAGCGAAAGTCAATTGATATATAAATTTACGTTTTGGACCGAATCTTTGTTATTCATGTATTTATTTTTTTTTTCATTGGTTTCTATTAAACTAACTATTCTTTATTGAATTATTCCGTTAAAGTAAAAAAATAATTATCCAATACAAAATGGCGGCGGTTTAAAAAAACTTTAAAGTTGTTTTTCTCAAAAACTTCATCGTATTTTTTCTTGAATTTTTTTTGAATATGAATACTTATATTAGAAATACACTCTAGGTATTTTCAGGTGCGCTAAAATATTTACATGGTTCAGAGAATTTTTTTCTAAATATACATGCATTTTGCAATTTGTGTTTTAATATCGTATAATATTATTCTAAAATATTAAATAAATAAATAAATATATTATTCCTCATGAATAAATGATTTGTATAAAAATTTTGAATATATTTTTAATTAATTCCTGTAAAATATCGAAATGGTATGTGTTTATGTAATGTAAACCCTTGATCAAATCTAGTGTGCAAACAAATGTCAAATTGCAATCTATAACCCTTATGATCTGTTTATAAGTGACAATCATGAGTTCTAAAAAAACTTTTCCTACAAGAAAAAAGTGTCCTGATTACGAAGAATTTCATACAAAAGTTATATATATATGCTCATGGTCAAAATTACAGATTTATAAAGTTAGAGGAGATGAGTATTTGATAAAACCGTTATTTCCTACCAAAGATATTAGTGGTGAGGATTTTATTTGCAAAAATTGTTATTACCGATTTACATCTTTATTTGGTGCCCAATCCAACGTTCGAGTAGTACAAGTGGAAGAGGTGGAGAATTACCTACTCAGACATTGAAGAAGTTCCTTTTTTGAAAACTGACGAGGATTATTTTGCATAAATTATTTATCATTATTATTATTATACTTTGTCAGAAACAATTGTTTCTGGTTCACCAATAATTTTTCGCTTTTTTTAAACCGAGCGATTCTCATTTATTTCATTCGTAAAATAATCCTCATCAGTTTGCAAAAAAGGAACTTCTTCAATGTCTGAGTCATTCTCCACCTCTTTCACCTGTACTACTCGAACGTTGGATGGTGCACCAAATAAAGATGCAAATCGGTGATACCAATTTTTGCAAACAAAATCCTCACCACTAATATATTTGGTAGAAAATAAGGGTTTTATCAAAATACTCAGCTCCTCTAACTTTATAAATCTGTTATTTTTACCATGAGCATATATAACTTTTGTATGCAATTCTTCGTAATCAGGATACTTTTTTCTTATAGTAATTTTTTTTTAGAACTCATGATTGTTACTTATACACAGATCATAAAGGTTATAGATTGCTATTTGACATTTGTTTGCACACTAGATTTGATCAAGGGTTTTCAATACATAAACGCATACAACTTTGATATTTTACAGGAATTTATTAATTTAATTAATTAAAAATATATTCAAAATTTTTATAAAAATCATTTACTCAAGAAGAATAGTATATTTATTTATTTAATATTTTAGAATAATAATAAATGTCAATAAAAAATATTTTTTTACTTTTCCGGCATAATTTAATAGAGAATAGTTAGTTTAATAGAAATCAATGAAAAAAATCAAAATAAATACATGACTAACAAAGATTCAGTTAGAAACGTGAATTTATATATAAGTCATTTTAATCGTCGTTGACTTTCGCTAGATATATTTCAAAATTCTCTGTAACTTCGTTACTAAAAGGATTTGAGCGAAACAAAAAAATGAATAGCCTTTTTTTAATTGAATAATTATTAAAAAACACTAAGAATGAAATATGTGTCTTCAGCCAAATTGCCCTGCATGATTTGAAATGAAATCGGCGTATACAATGTATAGTATACATTTCTCATTTAAATAACATGAGGTTTCGGCATGTTTTATATTTATTTTCCTCTTGAGCAAGTTAATATACAGCGATTAGAAATGCATATTTTTATATAAAATTGAACGCTGTACAAAAAAGCTTTCTTATGATTGTTTGATAAATCCATTGGTTTAAAAGTTATTTAAGGTTAAAGTTGAAATTATTGTACTTTTTAATATTTTTTTACTTTGACTGCAAAATTATCATGATTTTTATGAAAATTAATTGTTTATTTTTAAAAATATATGATTTTTATTGTATAATTTTTCATTGTATAATATTTTATAATATCGTATAAAATTTTATAAAATAAAAAGATTATGTAAAAAAAGTAATCGTACTAAAATTAAGTAAAACTAGTATCAGATTAGTTTAATGTAATATTTTTTTTTTAATTTATCGGAATTTCTTGTCAATAATTTTTACTTATCTCTTTTCAATAATTTTTACTTTTTTAATAGTAAAATAAAATTCACATATTTTTAAAAATAAACAATTATTTATATAAAAAAATTATAATTTTGCTTTCAAATTAAAAAAATCTAAAAAATTACTATAAATTTCACTTTAACCTTAAATAACTTTTAAACCAGTGAATTTATAAAAAAATCATACGAGAGCTTTTTTGTACAGCGTTTAATTTCCTATAAAAATATTTGTCTAATATTGCTGTATATTAACTTGCTCAGGAGGAAAAAAATTAAATGTAAAAGGTGCCGAAACCCCATGTTATTTAAATGGGAAATGTATCGTCTTTGTGGCAGGGTTTAAAATGAATATTAAGGGCTTATAATTTTGTTTAAGTCATAAACTAAAAATTTAGGGGGCGACATTCGTTTGGAGTTTGAAACTGATACAGACGTTCCTGCAAACACCAGTGCTTACGTGTTAATTTTACACGATAAAAAAGTTAAATATAACCCACTTACTAGTACAGTTAAAATTTTGTAAAATTAGTGAGGATATTTTAATAAAAAAATATTTATATTTTAACAAGGTCCAATGATATAAAAAGTACACATTTTCCATAGCACAATTAAGGTTTTTATTTAGATGTTTTTAACAATGGTATGATTTAAATATTTTTCGCATTTTCTTTAAAGATGTATATAAGGTCTCCTTCTTCCCTTCAATATTAATAATTTGATTGTGTACATATTTTTCCAACCATTTTTTTTAATCCCCCTTAACCATCACCGGCATAAATGGACTGGATCCTGTATAAAATTTAAAAAATTCCATAATGTTTTCAAATGCTACTGCTGCTTCTGTTGACATTATATATACCACAACAGTCTTCAGTTTCATTCCAGTCGTCTTGTTCAACAACAGCTGCTGATGTTGCTTCATAAAAACCTCATGCCTTAACGATACAATAGAATTTTGTATTACAGGTAGGCTTTTAAAATAAAAGAGTAAATTATAATAATCCTCCTTTTTACTGCTAATTTTTGACTTCCTTTAGCCTTTTTAACAAGACCAAAGTTTGAGTCAATATCTCTTGAGGAGTATTCATATTTTCTTAAGTTTTCCACATGTCGATTTATTTCTTCATCATTTTCCCTTATCTTTAATGAATACATTTTCGAGCTTAAACCAATAAATTTAGTCATTATTTTCATTTTTCATCAAACCCAAAACTTTTTTGTTCCTCAAAGGTATTTGCAAATACCTTGAAGCAAATTTGATAGATATTATCAGGGAAATAATCGGATGTATCAAATTTATCAATATCATCCCGTATGCATGCATAAATATCTTCAACAAAAAATTGATAAATCAAACTGTCAGTATCGGTATAAAGTAATTTTGCAATTTCAACAAATTTTTTCTTAACACAATTGCAGTGAAAATCATAAAGAAAAGTTTTTAATATATGTAAAATTTCCATATCCGCATAAATCGGTTTGTTTAATTGGTATCTAGTTTTTTTAGTTTCTAGTTTTTTCATCTCGACAAGTATCATATTTTCATTGAAAATTTTAAAACTATAAAAATTTGGTTGGGAAATGCAATAGTTGGCAATACATTTTTCCGACCATCTAGTTAGCAATTTCACAATTCTGTATTTGTTTATGTTTTCAATTATATTGCCAAATACTGCATTGTTTAATAATTTGTATGGATTTTTTTCTAAATTACGTAGTTCAGTATTTAAATCTATGTATTTTTTAAGCCAAGTGGATTGTTTAAATTTTAAACATCTATAAATTTTCTCAAATGTTATGCCCAACCGAAGAGCTTGTTTTGGATTATATTATATAATTGTATAATTCTTCTTATTATTCAAAGTGGTAAATAATCTAGGTTTGTTCAAGTCATGTGAAATTGGTGGCACCAAATGTTTAGGACAAAGAGGCAAATCTTTGTGAAGCTCAACAAGTTCATGAGGATAACAGAGGTCAACCTCAAAAACTAACCCATATTCGCTTGTCTCGGAAATTTTAAATATGTTTATGTCATCATTATCAACATCTAACCACTGAAAATCCCCTGTAGATAAGGCAAAGCTCATCTCAGCTCCATAAAGTTTGTTTACATCATTACATAAGATAATATTGAGGTTCGATAGAATTATAATCAGATTCCATGTATTTATTGTTTGCTTTAGGGTAGCGATTGGAACATTTTGAGACACCGCCCCATATCCCTCTTTCAATAAAATTAACTATATCCATGTCAGTCAAGAGTTCCAAGCAAACATCAGTAACCTTAAGCATAGCATCAAAGGCTATTATAGCAGGAGCTGTAAGATAATGAAGCGCATCCAACTTGTATGGTTCTAGATAAGACTCACGAACATTTTCAAAAATATCAACCAAAAGTAAAACATCCGTTTTCAAATACAATTCTGCATATTGTTGTAAATTTTTATATTCAAATTTATTCCAAACATTGAGGGCATGATTGTAATCCTCACTGAAAATGTCTTCATTTGTTATTTTACTAAAAAACATTTGCTTTGGCGGTAAACAAGTCTCCTTTAATTTTTCACAATTGTTAAGATACTCATAGGGAAATACCCCTTTTCTTGTAAACAGGTTTAAACTGGTCACGGTCTCAAATACAATTTTTTGGTAATCAACTTTTGAGATTCGTTCAGATAAGATGACAACCATGAATCTAAACGAATCCGAAAATCGCAAGTTAACTTTAGTATTTTTAATATATTTAGTAAAAGAAATAATAATACTCCATATTAGGCGGTAGTAGACTCATATCACCATCTACCTTGGTTTAATTAAGAAATGACTATCGTATTCCCTGAACCTTCTTTTCCTTCTTTTGGTGACAGCTTTTGCATTGGAACAGGATTTGATAGCAAAAAGTCGACACGTTTAGTTATCTTTTCAAGCTCATAAACAAACCACTCTACACAATTTTTACTATTGTACATGTTAAATTTAGAAAGGCTATTATCATCAATGGTAAAAACGTTAATATACAGTTTGTTCATGAGCTCAAATTTTAAAATATCCTTTAGAGCAATAGAAAACTGTATATTTTTAAATTTTAAAACGTGTCTAAAATTTGGATACGATGATTTACGATTTGGATTTTTATTAGTGGCATCTGAAAATAATGACGCAACTACTGCATATAAAAAACAATACTCGTCATTATTTCGAATATTGATAACACTTTTCCTATTCCCAACAAACATGGGTAAGGACACGTATGTAGAAATTCCCGATTGAATGGTATTTTAATGATTAATGTTTACCTTTAAATGTAATACCTTTTACAAACTCCATCCTGAATCCTTGTCCTGAAATTTCTCTAACTAATAAAATCCTATCAACAACAAATTGTTTAAACCAATCTGGTAAATTATTATTGTTATCAATTATTGCTTTTTTAGTTTGAAAGAATTTAACAGAAGTTTCGCCACTTTAAGATTTTATAAACAACCCAGCAAAAACTACACTAACCTTTATTTAGACTGTTTTAATTCCCTTTTAATTTTTATACTGAAACTACGAAAGGCTTGTTGTAAAAATACCCTGTAACCAAACATTATTTACTTCGCTGAAGCTTTTGTACCCGGTAATAGGTAGTTAATCCACCAGCTAAAAGATGCCGTACCATGTACCAAAACGACTATTTTGACATTTAGTGAAGCATAACGGCGGCGATGTTGTTTTTACAGTAGTTCTTTACCCAAATTTTAGCTATAAAAGGCTGAATTGGAAATTATTAAAATCAGTCTACTGGTGGCTCAAATTCCGACTGGTCTAATACTTGGAATACTGGAAGAACCCATACCGAGACTTGTATGCATAAGGATTATTTCCTGGTGATATAAAACAGTAGGTTAACCTGTGGCTGTTATGCTTGGGCTTTTATGCCGTAATTCCTGCCACCCCTCCTCATTTAGAATTTATCTAACGTACCACATTTATCATCCAAGTGAACATAACCTTACTTATATATATATATATATATTGCATTTAATATTTCTTCTTTAGAGCCCCAGTTGCAAGCGTACCCTGCCTGTCTGTGGAGGAAAACGGAGCCTGTACCTGCCAGTTGCCTTTGGGAACAAAGAACAAAATATTGACCTGTTTGCACACATAAAATTGTATCATGGCTATCTATGATAAACCTGTATTTTATGTATATACCCTTTATTAACAAATAAACAAGTTTAATATTTTTGTCATTTTAAATTAAACCACAAAACCTGAACTGATTCTCAAACTCTATTTCTCCACTGTCAAGTTACTCGGCGTTGGTATTCTCTCTGTCGAAGCACTAGAGAGACCCTATAGTGCGTACTGTAGTCACACGCAGAAGGCGCAAGAAGATCCTGATGTCAAATTCGTAAAATATATCTACAGAGTGTCCCCCTTTATGAAATGACAAATGTTAGATTGCATTAGGCAAAATTAAATACCTTTAGGTTTTTAAAAACTTGAAATAATTATGGCTACGGTGCTCATGCTGTTATAGTACTTAAGGCCATTACCAGCCTAGGTACGACACAAATTTGGCGCCCGAGCAGGGACCTGATTTTTACTTGATTTTTTTCTGAAAATATCCTGAAAACCTAACCTTCAAAAACCCGTGAGAATCAGAGTAAGGTGGTTTAATTTTTAACAATTAAAATGACAAAAACAAAAACAATCCCGTCGAAAAAACCCGACGACCAGGTTAAAACACAAGGCCCTTCCCAGGCAGAGGCTGGAAATTTTTCAACAGAAGGCGCAGCTGTAACTAGGGAGAAAACAGGGTTAAGTTGGATTTACACGCTTCGTAAGGAAAGTTTGATCGACGTTTGTAAGGGTTATGGCTTAGAAGCAACCGGTACAGTAAACAATTTGCGTTTAAGACTAAGAAATCATGTCACCGGAACCAAAGAAACCTCCGATAATCTACCCTTGTGGAAAACCTAATTTTTAGGCACACCCCCTGATGATCGAAAGATCTGTGACCAGGTTCGAAAGTGGAATGTACACTTTGCTAAAAATAGTAATACAGTCTCATTCCTCGAAAGAATCCAAGAACTAAAAGTATGCTACGAGGAAAATCTACTCAAAGCATTACCAGAGCTACTAAGAGGCAGTGCATTATTATGGTACAGAAACTGGAAGGCTGGCTGGACTAAATGCGATGATTTCATAGAGGATTTCAACTTACTTTCCCAGTAGGTATACCGAAGGGAGGAAATTTATCCAAGGAATCGAAAGCCCAAAGAAAGTTTTAGGGAATATATAATTAAAATCCAGTCACTTATGCGAAGATATGGCAAATATACTCAAGAGCAAGAATTATACACTTTGTATAAAAATTTACGCCCAGAATATAGACAATACATCCGGCGAACCGATGCCAAGTCGGTTAAAGATTTGGTGGGGCAAGCAAGGAGTTTAAAAGTCTAGAAAAAGAAACAGAGGCACAAAAACCTGCCAGGGTGGTACAAATTCCCCAAGTAGCCCCAATCTTTTCAAGACAAAATTATACCCCAATCCGGCTAGTAAAGCCAACTAATGCCACAGTATACGACCGAAATCGTGTGTGGTGGCGGTGTGGCAAAGAGGGGCATTTTCGCACTGAATGTCGCGAAAGGGGCCGAATATTTTGTTCCAGGTGCGGCAAGCAGGATGTCTGGTCAAAAGACTGCACATGCCCACGCCCGGAAAACTCCGAAGGGAGCCATAACTAAAGCCGTCTGAATTCCCATCCCTACCGGCTTCACCAGGACCGTATTCACTACAAAATATACAGTGTGAAGCCCAATTCCGATGATAATTCCCAATGGATTAGCCAATCAACCCGAAAATGTGGCTTAAGTCCCCAGAATGTTCCTTAAATTGGAAATTAAAGGGTTAGAATGAAATGCTCTTTTGGACACCGGGGCTATATATAAATAAATTGGAAAATATTGGAAAATCAGTGGTAGAAAATTTACCAAATCAACCAGAACAACAATGTACTACCCAGGTCCAATTGGCTGATGGGTCCCTACAAACAGTCACTAGGGCCTACACCCTTGGTTGTCAATTTAACAACAAATATACTTAGCACCAGTTTTATTCTGTACCAAATTTGGTGGAAAATATTATTTTGGGGATGGATTTTATATCCAAGCATAAGATATTAAATAACTAAACACAAAATAAACCAAAAAATCCAGAAAAGGAACCAGAAAGTCCAGAAAAGGAACCAGAAAGTCCAGAAAAAGCAGAAGAACCGGAAAAATTTCCAGTCCGGTCCTGTTGTCCTTGATCCAGAGAAAGCTTATTCCCGAAGAACAACAGAAAGTGGCCGACTTTATGCCCACCAAATTAAATTCCTGTGATACAAATAACAGCAGGATACAACATAATATTCGTATCAAAGAAACCGCCATAAAGAAAATCTACGACGAAGTTGATCAAAGGTTCTCAGATAAAATCGAGCTCTCCCATAGTCCTTGGAGCTCACCAACAGTGATGGCCAAACAAGCTAATGAAGAGCCACGATTATGCATAAATGTTCGAAAAGTCAACGACTTCTCGACAAAGGAGGCATAACCGGTGCCACAAGGACAAGCGATTCATCGAGTCTTAGAAACGGCCGGCCGCGGCCTCCGGATACCGACGATTTGTGCCAAACTTTGCACAAACTCCGTACCTGCAACAATGCAACAATGTAATTGCTTACCATCAAGGGGTTGGGTAAATTTCCCAACGGCCATTTCTTATTCACGGAAGAGGACCCGGAACCCGGAGCCGTGAAGATGTTTTTAATAACTCTTTTTAATTTCCAGATATCTTTTAAATCCTGTGTACGACCGTTGTTTTTAGCAATCTAAAAACAAAATTTTTGTAAGGAGGTTATGTAACGAAGCATTATTTACTTCGCTGTAGTTTTCTGTAACCGTCAATAGGTATTACACCCACTAGCGAACAGATGCCTTTACCAGGTACTAAAACGACTATTTTGACATTTAGTAAAGCATAACGGCGGCGATGTTGTTTTTACAGTAGATCTTTACCCGAATTTTTGCTATAAAAGGCTGAATTGGACATTATTAAAATTAGTCTACTGGTGGCTCAAATTCCGACTGGTCTAATACTGGCTTGAATACCACCTACACAAAACCGGACTCAGCAACGAGACGGACTGTAGGTACTGCAGCGAAGTAGACGAAACTACCGAGCATATAGTCTGCGAATGCGACGCTCTAGTCAATAGTAGACTAAGACCTAGGGGACAGATACTTGGAACCAGAGGAAATATTGCATGCCCGACCAGAGCGGGTCTGCACTTTTCTTAAAAGCTGCGGGCTCGTAAGGTAAGGCAGGGTTTCACCAAAAGGGGGTTTGCACAATGGGCCGTATGTGTGCCTAAGTGCTGCCTGCAAAGGCTCCCCTTCAAATCAATCAATCAATCAATACTGGCTGAAAGAACCATACCGAGACTTGAATGCATAAGGATTATTTCCTGGTGATATAAAACAGTAGGTTAACCGGTGGCTGTTATGCTTGGGCTTTTATGCCATATTAAACCTATTTGTAAATCCTGCCACCCGTCCTGTCATTTAGAATCCACCTAACGTACTACATTTACCATCTAAGTGAACATAACCTCACTTATATATTTTTGCATTTAATATTTCTTCTTTAGAGCCCCA